TTCGGGCTTAAAATGCAAATTCTGGGTAAGGTGTATCGATGAACATTCAATGTGTATCGATGCACTCTTTAAAGAAGAAACATCGAATGCAATTAGTGCATCGATGCATAAGGAGTGCATCGATGCACCCCCCTTAAAATGAAAACATCGAAGGTGTTGGTGTATCGATGCATGGGTAGTGCATCGATGCACATGTTAAAGAATGCATCGATGCACTGTAGAATGTATCGATGCACTTCAAGGGAAAATAGAAATAGACATTTCTTTTGGTCCTAAGAAATGATATATTAGAGTATATCATTGGATATATGTATCAATGTATGATTATGTAGATATCGAACATGAACAAGTACCAGAACGATTATCAAGTTAAGATTCGATCGAAAGAGAGGAAATCATAAAAGTGGATTAGAACGTAGTGAGGCCAAGGTGAGTGCACATTATTTAGTATATGATGTTTAATGGGAATTAAGACTTTCAACAAGTGTATTTCCAATAGTAAAATGCATAAATTCCTAGATAGAAGTATGTTTTTGCTATGGTTCATATGTGTGCATAAGTCGATGTGGTGACACAGTGCCCTCCATCCGCCACGAAACACTGGCCAATACATTTCCATCGATCCGTAACTCTCAAGTTAATTTCTAACTTGATCCTACACTTAAAAATGACCTTAAAAGTCAAGTGATGGATAAATATAAAATTCGATAATAATACAAAATGATATAAAATTAATTAAGAACTAAGTTTAATTTGAACGAATTAAGTATATTTAATTAATGGAATAAAATTTAATGTTTTCAATTAGGATAAACAATCAATTTAAAAGGAGGTGCAATGTACAAACAATTTTAAATATTTAAATATTTTAAATAATTAAAATATTTAAAGGTTAAAATGTTAAAGAGAATAAGAATCAAATACTAATTAAGTAAACAATGAAAACTAATTTTAACGTTACTTCTATCTATACGTTTCATTGAAAATAATTTCTGCGATCTTGCAGACAATTTCAAACAGCAGTAAGCGTTAATGATTCAACGGGAAGACTGTTGAAGTACGACGTCAGAAGCAAGCAAGTGACGGTTGTTTAGGAACCTTCGTTCGCTGCAGGGGTTGCAGTCGATAAAGAAGAGAATTCGCCCTGGTTTCCGAGTTCATCGGGAACAAGACTCGAAAGATTCGACTCCAGGGTCATGAACCGTAAGAATCTGAAATCGTAAACTCTCTACCGACACCGGATAACATCAAGAGGACGAGACTAGATGATTTTTGTCTACCGGCGGCAACGATAGACCGACGAACGAAATCGAGTTTGTTGTTGCCTTTAGGATTAAGGATCAATGGAAATGGGAATGTTTTACAAACAGTTAATCTTGAGCGATGGCACGGAAACAATTCAGTGAGTGAAGAAGTTGAAGAGATAGCATCACGGCTGTGGATTTCATTGGTGTTATTAAGTATTAAATTGTAAAATCCTGAAACTGCTATTAATAAACAACAAGTTGGTGCAAAAATAAAATTAAGTTTTTCAAGGATGAGTGGTGTTACTTCTCAAGATAATATTATTTCTGTATGGTTTCTTTTAGCGGTACCAAGGTTTTAAATATATAAATTTATACACTCTCTATAATTTTTAAATTAAGATATCATAATGCTTATAATTTTTTCATTAAATCTTTATTTTATATAATAAAAATATTTTTTATATTGAGGTGAAAGTCAGATGTAAATTTTTATTTCAAATTATTAAGGAAGAGCAACATTCTTTTTTAATGTAGAGTGTACATGATAATATATGTTTTAAAGATTTTTAATAATTTGACAATGAAAGTTCAACCCTTGCAGTCTCTGGTGTTCGAACCTGAGACCTCTAAGGATAACAATTATCTCTTTAACAGTTGAAATAATTGTTTCGTACAGGAAGAACAACATTTTTTTATCATTGAGGTCATTTAATTGATTCTTGATATTTATATATTCTTAGTTATTGATGTGGCATACATTATGTTAATAGAAATGATAATAATATATATCACATCAATAATTAAATAAATGTGAAATATCAAATAAAAATAAGTGTGTATGGTTAATCAATAATGATTTTATCTTAAAATAAAATATATTTAATCAAATATTAAGAGTTAAGTGTTAAAATAAAAGTGACTATTTCGTAAAATATTATAAACAATTTTAACATTCTATCTAAAATGGAAAATGCGAATAGTTTCCGACCAATTTCCTCGAAGCTTTATCCATATTTCAGGGTCGCCTTTTCGAAAATTCGAGAATTGCATACCGAGCTTTGGTTTCACATTTTTTTCTCATCCAACAAGTGTTAAATAGCATGATCATAAACGTTACATCTCATTTTGGTTTGGCTTTTATACCTTTTCTAGGCTTATAAATACTTGTAATTTTACAAAAATATGTATAAAATTGGGTGGTTTTATCTGAGATGGCTTCCATGAACAGGCTAATCATTTCCTTGCTTTTCATCTTTGTTTTCTGTTTTCCTTCCATGGCTAATTCTGAATTTTTCCGATCGATTCAATTGCCACCGACCGCTACAGGTCCCGAATCCATTGCCTTTGAGCTTGCAACTGGGCGATTCTACGTAGGTGTAGCTGATGGTAGAATTCTACAATACAACGGACTAAATGGATTCGTAGAGCATGGATTCACAGGTCGAGACAGGTCTAAGGCATTGTGTGATGGCGTTACTAATCCGGATTTGGGCGCGCGTGCGGAAGACCGTTCGGTTTAGGCCTACATTACGCAACGAATCAGCTCTATGTATGTGATGCATACCTTGGTCTCATGGTGTTGGGTTCCGGTGGAAGAGTAGCACCCCAGTCTCGGCTGGTGTAGAGGGCGTGCCTTACCGCTACTGCAATGGCATAGATGTTCACCAACTATCTGGAAATGTCTTTTCTCTGATTACACCACTGCCTATGATCTAAGGTTCATTCTTCTTTCACAATACGATTCCGTTTCGGGAACTTTTTGTTTCGGTTTTACAGATCGACATCGATTAATAACCTGTTGCAGAGATGCTACGAAAGGATTGGCGTCGAATGATTCAACGGGAGGTTGTTAATGTACAACCCGAGCACGAGGCGAGTGACAGTGTTACTAAGGAACCTCTCAGGGCCAGCAGGGGTAGCAGTTAGCCAAGATGGGTCATATGTTCTGGTCTCTAACTACAATGCTAACAATACCATAAGGTTTTGGCTCATGGGTCCTAGAGCCGACACCTACGACATCATAAACATCCAGGAGAGGCCGAATAACATCCAGAGAACCCTACTGGGAGACTACTGGCAGGCAGCGGCGATGGTGAAACAAGAGACCCAGACATTGGTGCCGATAGGCCAACGGATCAACAGCTTCGGCAGGGTCCTTCAGACAATAAATTTAGAACGATGGTATGGCAATAACTTAGTCAGTGAAGTGCAGGAGTTCCAGGGTTCACTATATATAACATCCATCTGTGGACTTTATCGGCGTCTATACAGTCTAAAACCGTCCACAAAGTTGAACCGTAATCCGATTCAAGAATCGAATCTCTATATCTGCAATGCCTTTCTTTATCCCGAAGTTAAGTAAAGAGAATGTAGTTTTACTTCTATACGGTCTAAAACCTCCATGAATAATAAAGTGTTTTATCATCATATTTGCTTGCTCTGTACATAGTTAAATATATATATGCATCGACAATGAATAAATGCCCACACGGGATATGCAGAGTTTATTTCTTCCCTTCTTCAAGGGAAGCAGGATACTCAAACTCACGACTTAAACCCGAAACGTTTTCTGACACTTCGATGCTCGACACAGGCCCGATTTCCTCCTCCTCCTCGATCTCACTATCATCGTTGTTATATAAACTACCTTGATGATCATGATCATTGTCTCTCGTAAACACCCCGAACTTCACAACAATCAAGAATTTGTTTATATTCTTGTAGCGTTTGTCACGGCACACGGACTCGATATTTCTAAAGATTTCCCAGTCGCGGCAGACCTTGAACCATTAGGGATTCGTGCTCCCATGGAGTGAACTTAGGGGATTGCTCAAACAGATTTTGGCAAAAACAGATTGCAGAGTTCAACGGAATCAGGGTCGTTACAATGATCGAGCGAAGCATGACAGTAACGAACTCGGCTGCAACGTCGAGGGTCATGGACTTCTTCCTCGTAGTCTTGTGGGATATGATCTTCCACAAGTTCTCCCATCCATTTATAGAAACAATAAAAGTTGTATAATTTGAACAGGACCACAAACCAGAATCCTTCTCCATCTCAAAGATAACAAGTCATGCAGCGGTCTGTATACATATACGCATATATGTATGCCCTTTTTTCTGGCAAATTTTAAATTCACAAACAAAATCATTTATTAATTGTCTAAATTAATGGAAACTTTAATAATTGCCATTTATTGTTTGATTTAGTCCGATTGATTATAAAAAAAAATTCTTTCCAAATATTTAATAACTAGTACTATACTATGAACTTCGTAATCTAATTCAATTTTAAAATAGAAATGAATAAAAATCGTCACTATAATCCTTAAATAATTCATAGATAAAAATCACCATATATGAATTTATTAGCATTTATAAGTTTTAAAATTGTTCTTACAATTAAAATAAAGTATAATACTATTAGAATTTAAACTTTAAAATTAATAACCAGATGATTAAGTAAGATAAAATACTATATTGTTTACATAAAGTTATCAGTTTAAATCTGACGTTATGAACGGAACAAACTGAATCAAAAAAAATCACTAAACTTAATAATTGTATATTGATAAAAAGTATATAGTAACAGTAATTAATGAAGATTTAAACATTCATGGATCACTTATAAAAAAAACATTCATGAATCACAGGCATGGTATAGCGACACACCGGACACATGCGACTCTTTCTAGCCACTTTTCAATACATCGGTCATGAAATGCATGCCACAAGGCATGCGTTTAGCTTCGTTCATCCCTCATCGAGGCAAATCGCACACTCAAACTCAGACTCCAAATCTAAAACTTTCTCCAACGCTTCAATGCTCGACTTACTAGCCGGAACAAACCCGATTTCCTCCTCGGTATCACCGTCATAATCATCGCTGGAATAATCATGATAAGTATGGTAGTTTATCTTAAACACCCCGAATTTCACAATGATCAAGAATTTATCTATGTTCTTGTTGCGTTCAGCTCTATATGTGGAGTCGATATAGTTCAAGATTTCAGAACGACGGTTGACCTTGAATTCTTCGGAGATTTCACACTCCACGGGAGAATTAATGGATTCGTCGAATAGGTTTTGGTGAAACGTATTATAGATTTTACTACGATCAGGATCGTTATGGCGATCTAGCAAAGCATGACAGTATCGAAACCGGCCGCAAAGTTGAGGGTCATGTGCTTCTTCTTCGTAGTCTTGTGGGATTTGATATTGCGTAAGTTCCCCCATCCATATGTCGAAATAGTACCAATTCCAGTCGTGTCATCGGCGTACCATGAGCCAGAATCTCTCTGCATCTTTAAGAGAATATCAACGCTTGATGCTTAGCTTTTTTATGTTTCTTCTTATCTTCCAATTTTAGTGAGAAGTGCTTTAGCATCTCCTCTTTATATACACACACATCTTTAACTCTAAGTAGAACACGAAATATGTAGTCCTTGTCCTAAAAGAATGGTGTTTAGTCCAATTTAATATTTATTATCACTTTATTGAATACGTTTACTCGTATTAGGTAAATTAAGTATTTACCTAAATCTAAAAAAGCATTATTATTAACATTGGATCCATTCGATATAGAAATTCAATAAACCACGTTTTCCCATGTTTCCTAACTAGGATGGACATGAGTCGGGTGGGTCAGTTTTCGATCAATCTGACCCAAAATATACACATTCCACCCAAAATTCGACCCGACTTGAAATAAATAAATTTATTAAAAAATATTAATTTATTCGATAAAATAGGGATCTAATTACAAAAAAAATATAGCGAGAAGTTTTATTGCAATTATCCTCAAGGTATAATTATGTTATTTTTCAAGTTGAATATTTTTCACCACAAATTCAAACCCGAGTATTCGACCTAACCCGATCTGACTCAAACTTGTACTCTAAAGACCCGGCTCAACACTAATTTTTTTTAAATTTATTAAGTATGTTAGATCAAAATTCATCAGAGTCAAGTCTCGTACCATACCTATCCTTAACCCTCTTCTCCCTTTCTTCTCTCTTGTGCCGATTATCTTCGACTTTTTTATATTTTCATTTTAAAATATTTCATAATTTATTACATATTATTAGCACGTTCTTACTCCAAAATAATAATTCTTTATATTAAAGATGAAATTTTTCATCCGAAGTCTTAAAGAAAAAAATATACAAAGTTATATAAGGAGTTTTTATTTGCTTAATATTTTATGTCTAAATTAGTTTATACTTGTTATCGCGGGTTTAATTTTTTCAATATTTGTTATTAGAGACAAATTTTTAAAATTTAATTTCTTTTTTAATATTTATTTGTTATTATGAGTAAATTTTTCAGTACTTTTATTAGAAGTCCAATTTTTTTTCCAATATTTGTTCTTATGAGCATACTCTTAAAATTTATTTTTTAAATATTTGTTATTAGGGACTCATTTATTTACACTTGTTATTATAGAATTGTCCTTAGAAATTTTTTTAAAACTTGTTATTATGAACAATTACTTAAACAATTGTCTGTAAACATAACAACGATCGTTATGTAGTGATAATGACATCATCCGAAACCACGATATCCACAACCGTTATGTTCACAGTAACATATGTTATTAAAAATTCACAATCACGATACTTGCAATCACCGCAATATCATCAGTTATATCCGCAATAGCGATAAACACAATGCGGTCGAATACATAAATACAAACTGTAATTTAATTCTAAACCAACATGACTTCATATTATCACGACCAAAAATACTAACCTCAATTTAGGATGTTACAATTTTATTAAATGAAATTAATTTAATAAAATAAAATAAAATATTTTTACTAGCATGACATATGTCACGTTATCACTTTAGACACGACATTTTTCATATGATCATTAATATATGCAAATATGTGTAGCGTCATCACTTTGGATACGTTACATATGTCAAATCATTACTTATATTACACGTTATAGTGTCACGTGAGTGGCAAGCTTTGATTGTTAGTCAATCAACAATTTTCATCATGAGGGCATTTAGACCCAAAATAAAATATTGAGAGCTAAATTACTTTACAAAATTAAGGTCAAAGTGACTATTTGATCAAACGTTAAGAGAAAATTTGTTATTATGCAATATATTTTTGTCAGACGTCACCTCAATCCTTTTCAGACTATATCAATGTTGAATACCTTCCAATAGCGTTGATTCCATCCAAATAGGGATAGATTAATCTATAATACTCTAGAAGAGGTATAACATAGAAAATGTTATTCTACCGCTCCAAATAAAATTTGTACCTAAGAAGTTCTAGAAGATAAATATTTATAATAAGAATATTTTTAGTAGTCCATTTAAACGTATCTCAACCGTCGGATATAAGAGGTCTTAGTTTATAAATAAAAACCATTCCTATTATTTAATAGTAGTAGATAAATTGAGTGTATGCGTGTAAGGAAAGTGAGAAGCTTTTTGTCTTGATTTTAAAGTTTAATCAATAATGTGTATGTTACTAGATGCATTAGTTAAATATTCAGTTACAATTTTTATATTTTTACAAATTACAATGTGAAATCATCATTTAATATAATTTTTGTATATTTTAAGAATTTTTTTATATGCTTGATATAAGTATTACCATGATTAGTAAATATTTTAAATTCGTGATTTTATTTGCAAATTAAAGACATGAGAGTTTGTAAGCGTGTTAATATGAAACTTTATAAATATTTTACATCTTCGAATGGAATGAAACTTTTAGGATTGATTTGATTTTACTCTTATAGAATGTTTAATTTTGAAATTAATTGAAATAAATTTTTTTATTTTTCATCTTAGTTGGAAGGTATTTTCTTCGAGTTTTAAATATTCATAGGAGAAGATTAAGGAAGGGTAAATATTTATTTAATATATGGTTAGTTTCTTATTTTATACATAAATTATACTAAACATATTTTTTATTATTATTTATTTATTTGTGTATATAATATGTTGATAAATCGATAATATAAATAACTTATTAAAAATATTAATATATTATATTATGTGTAATGTGATTTTAGATATTATATACTATCGGAAGATACTTTTATGCAAGAAAGTGCAGTAGGTGATGGAGCCGTGCTCCAAGATTCTAAAAAGAATATCTTAGATTTCACCATAATCAAGTTGTCAGAAATTTAAAAATACACAAAGCTAAGCAATAGACTGTAGTCAAGGGATTAGATTTTAGTGAAGTATTTTTCAACTCGAGAGTATAAAAAAATGTCTTCACGTTAGGATATAGAAGAAGGACGATTAATTTGATGATTGCACATTTGAGTGGATATCAAGGGAATACAACAACCTTGTAGATTTCGTAATATAAGGATCAAGATTAGAATTAGATAGGTTAGAGATCGAGAAGAGGTTGACTAAAGACAGTGAAAAGGAGTAACGGATGCAAAAAAAATAACATGTAACTATTTATTAATTTAATACAATTATAATATGTTAGTTCTATAATTTTATAATTAAAAAGGTACCCGAGACCATTGTACTTTGAAAGAAGAAAAAACTCATTAAGATTAGAATTATAACTCATTGTACTTGTTTTTTTATATATATGTTGTTATTGGTGATTGTGGGCGTTGACTTAATGAGATTGGTGATGGTGGCTCGAGGTTGGTCTGGTTGTGATTCGTAATTGTGGTTTTTGGGACTAGGATGAAATGACAGTGATGAATGGTTCATGGTCGTAAGAAGATGATGAAGCTCTTGAGTATGATAGGTGTTGTGTTTAGAGACGATGGTGACATGAAGAACATCAAACGGCGTAAGCGAAAGGGATCGACAATCAATTAATATGAAAAACTTATGCTTTTTTTGGGGGAAGAAGATGACTTTTTAGCATTTCTTATCGACAACTGACGATAATGATCGTAATGAAATAAATTGAAAGTACAATGATTGTATTACAGTTTCTAAAGTTTGTGAGTAAAATGCAGTTGTCCTAGAAATTCGGTGATCATTTATATCGTTTGCCCTTATTATATTTTTTTTTTGAAAGATGGGTACTTCGTATTGAAGATACAAGGTACACCACCTCTGGACCTCATTAAAAAAACCTCCCTAGACCTAATTGGAGGAAAAAGAGTATACCATGAGGTAGAATAAAATGAAAGCCAGAGCTCTCAATTACACCAAACGATAAAGCACACCAATCCGACCCTCACAAAAAGCTAGCCAAGCTAGAAAAAACTACACTACCCGAACCAAACTACCATGAAACAACAAGCCTCGGCTTTCTCTAACCACAAAAGGACCTAACGGGACACTAAACTGCAACTCCAACAGTTCCAGAACGAACTATCAGAAATAAATGGTGGAACCATAATCTCTATAGCAACGAAGAGAACCCAGCACAAAGCTATTTTAGTCATTGATAACATATGCCTTGTAGACCTATCTACTCGAACCCAAAATCTCAATAAAAAAATAGGGTAAACTATACAATTGACCACCTACCAATTGCCTCTTTTCATTTTGACCATCATTTTTGAAATTTTATTAATTAGGTCACCCAATTATTTAAATGCACTCAATCAAGTCACATGTCATTAACATTTGACGGAAGTGTTGATGCGGCAATTAATAAAACTAATATAATTATATATTTGATCACTCTTACTTATATATTCTATTAATTTGATCTTAATTTTAATAAACTAAAATTAATTTAACCTCAAATCAATTGTACCACGACACATATTACTATCTTATTAAAAGATTAAATTTAGTTATAATTTAATTTAGTAAATTTATTTTCTACCAATAAGATGGAGACATGGTGAAAAGAAAATCGAGAGAACTCAAATAGTGGGGCTAAGGGAATCGATCCTGAGTCTCTAGGGCAAGAAAGGTGGGGAATGTCTCAGGAAAGGCGGGTTAATATACGGCTAATATACAGCATTACCGGATACATTAAAATGTATTTAATAAATTCGGTTTAGCGGTACCTATTATGTTGACAACTAATAATGTTTTAGGTAGAAAATATGAAAAACTATTAAAAAATTTGGTAACCGGTAAACTTTGGTTATCGGTAAGTATCTATCTTTTTTATAAAAGTGTCCATACTTTTAACATATCAAGTAAATTTTACCGGTTTTGTCATAATGAATCTGGTTTTGTCATATTTTTACCTGTTATATTGTAAATTATCTATCCTTTTTATAAAAGTGTTCATACTTATTTCACTGTGAAAATATATTATTATC